CCTACTACACTCAGTATCCTCAAAATGAAATGTTAGTACAGGTGTTTAAATTCCCTAACTCCAATTATAATTCCAAAATTACTTTTCTCGTCTTACAAAATAACTTTTCTTCCCCCCCCAAAAAAAAATAATATTCTTAACTACCCCTAGCAATGGTGGGGACACCTGGTTTGTTAATGGTTATTATCCCCATTTTAGAGATCAGAAAACTGAGGCTCAGAGAGTTTAACAAACTTTCTTAAACTCATACAGATAGTTAATTACAGAGTCAGGATTTGAACCTATGATTATAATGTCCTTAAAACTTATACTTGGTTAGAGCATGGCCTTGTAACACCAAGTTCACAGGTTCAGATCCCTGTACTGATCAGCTGCCAAAAAAAAGAAAAAAGTTTATACTTGGAAGTATTTAAAACATGCACACACTTGTATATTTATTTGGAAGCAGGAAGAAATAGTAGAAATCCACTATTTTCTACTGTCTTGTTCTAGGAAACCAGGTAAGTGTACAGCTAAAATCTTTTTACGAAATAAACTAGCTTTTGAAGTTTTTGTCAGAGAAAATGGGACAGCACATGCCAGCCACCTTTTTTTGAATTGCACCTTACAAATACCACCCAAATGTTAAGTGTTCCCTTAAATATATAACATGATAGCTGCTGTACTCACCTCAAAGGGTTATTACTTGGGTCAAAAGAAAAAACATGTGATTTGTCATATGGGGGGGTCTTCAGAAAGTTCATGGAAAGATTATTATCTTTTAATCCCACTTTTCTGTGAACTTTTTGAGGTATCCTTATATGTTAAAGGATGTTGTATAAATAACATTGAATGAAGTCTGAAGTCCCAAATCTGTCTCTTATACCCCAATGGTTTTAGGTGTCACTAGTTTTCTTATAGATAACAACGTAGATCTGTTTCTCCACTACTAAAGAAAAGGAAAAAAATGTAGAATGTACTATACATAAAATTGCTAGAAGGACAAATGGGTAATATTTTCCAGGTGAAAGCACCGGGAAAAATGTTTTGTGTAGTGCAGAACTGTAGGCTGCCAGTTAGCTCAGTTGGTCAGAGCACAGACTTGTAACACCAAGGGTTCGGGTCCTCATATTGGCCAGCCAGGAAAAAAAAAAGAGACATGGATATGTGCTTATGACAAAATAAGTGTGTCAGCCCTTTCTAAGAGTACTTTTTTACATGTCTGTCTAGAATTTAACATTAAGCACTTACAAGGAATAAAACAAAAAATGTACATAGCATATTAGATGGGAAATAACACTGGTAAACTACGATAGTCACCAGATAGTGACAATGTTTGCTTTGGAAGCTTTTGGAAGATCTTTTCCAATTTCCTGGTTTCTTAGGTGAGGAAACTAAATTCTCAGTCTCATAGTCTCTCTGTGGCAAAGGTAGTACTGGGCTATTTACTGGGCAGAAACAGAAAATCCCTAAGCCTTCTGAAGGACAGACAGGAGGATGGCGGTAAGCCAGTACTTTAGTTCATAATGGCATTTCCCCCACCTTGAGGAGGATATAAACGGTTCTCTTTGAACATTCTCTTCCACAGACCAAGTAGAAAGAATTGGCAATAGTGGCTGTGGTGACCCATAACCACTTAGCCTTCTTAGACGGAGAGGCACTAGTGATAAAAGATAAAGATAAAAGATAAAGATCATCATATCACTATTTTTACTTTCTTGAAAAGCCACTGCCATAATGTTACACACTACCATGCCCATGACAATGACTGTCAGATTAGGTGAACAGACTCTGATGGTGCGATATGGACCTTTTAGGCTAAACAACCAAAAATTGTTATAGTAACAAATACCTTTTTCAGCTAAGTTGTTTAAAATGTATTACTGGATCACAGAAATTTAGAACTGGAAAGGAACTGAGAAATCACAAATACCCATAATACATAGATAAGGAAGTAGATCCAAGGTCAGTAGAGGAAGGGTTAGAAATCAAGGCTTGTGACTTGAGATCTTATGCTCTTGAGATTTGCTCAAGGAGTTGACCTACAGTCTCTGCCTAAGAGTTTTATGTAGTCCTAAAATTTTTAATCCATTGATCATTACTAAGTGACCACCTATTATGAGCCATCTGGGAGCTTTCTATTCAGAGGGAAAAGACTAGGAAACATTAAATAATTGTAAAATTGAGTAAGCTGGCAAATCTTTAAAGCTAACTAGCTAGGCACAGTTCAGAGAAAACCACTGATAACTGGGCTGGAATAATTAGTGAGGATCTCTGGTGGTAGGTAGGATTTGAGGTGGGCTTTAAAGCAGAGCTTGTGAACTAGAACCTGTGGACCAGATTCAGTCCACACACAATTTGTTTGACCTTCATTATGATGATCCATAGAGTTTTTTTTTCTTCCCCAAATTAGCTTTCACATAAAAATCCTAATTTCTGGGATGTCATGAAAAGCTGCAACACGGCTTATATTCCCACTTATCAACAAGGGTTATAAATGAGAGGCAGCTGCCCCCTTAGACACTGTATAAACCCTCAGCTCAATACTCACAGCCAATCCCATTCCCTTCCTCCCTCCCTGGGCAGTGGGTTTGCTGCCCCTACTTTATGAGTAATGGGAAAGGCAGCCCAGAAAGGAGAATGAAACAGAGAAGTGAAGATAAGTAAGTATGTGATGGGGTAAGAGAAAATGTTGAGACATTTCTAACCAGTTTTCATGTAAGGATAAGATTCACTCTCCATTTAAACCAATTAGCTCTGCAGAGGGGAAAATCTGCCTCATAGGCCAAAACACATATCTGAAACTAGCAGAAGAGTCTGGTGACAGCTACTGCAACCATTTCAATGAATAAACTAAAAATAAACAAAATATGTGTTGCTGCTGGTGGATCAAGAATGCCAGCTTCACATATAAAGGGTAATATTCATTTTTCTTCTATTCAGTATCTTAATTTTGGCATATTTTAAAGTGAACACAAGTTAAATTTTGATATTTACATTAAAATATTATATAACTTTATTATAACTTTATATAAATATAAACTTTATTTATTATAACTTTATTATAAATATAAATGTAATTCGTGTTGCATAATTACATCTGACTTTGTTTTTTTTTTTTTAAAGATGACCAGTAAGCGGATCTTAACCCTTGACTCAGTGTTGTCAGCACCATGCTCTCCCAAGTGAGCTAACTGGCCATCCCTACACAGGGATCTGAACCCGTGGCCTTGGTGCTATCAGCACCACACTCTCTCCCAAGTGAGCCATGGGCCAGCCCCACATCTGACTTGTTTTTACTGAACTCCATTATATACTGCTGGTGGTAGGAGATATTACTAACTCACTTTTTTTTCCTAGGCAAGTATGTAACCCATTTGGTTTCAATAGATCCCAACTCTCAAGCTCTTTTTTTTCTTTTTGGCAGCTGGCCCAGTACAAGGATCCAAACCCCTCAGCTCAGAGTTACAAGGCTGTGCTCTAACCAACTGAGCTAACCAGCCAGTCTGAGTTCTTACTTTGGATTTGGCTCTTCCCTTACCTTCATGGTATTCCATTGTTCACATTTTTTGCTTGAAGAACTACAATTCAAATTTACAAAATGTGCCTGAGTATAAAGAAGGTTAAGAAGCACTACTCCAGTGATTCTGCCATATATTCATTTGAAGAATTGCTTTTCAAACCACAGGCTCTTGGCCTACTCTTCATTAACCTTACTTTCTGTTAAATACTCAGAAAAATAATATAGCGCTCAGAGAGAGCACTTAGAAAGCACATAACTAATCTCTTACTTTTAGTTCAAGTTCAGCACACTATGATATTTGGCACCACCCAGTGGCAATCTTTTCTTATGTGCTTATGAATAAACAACTTTGCAAACTCTTGATCACAAGGGAGAATACATCAATAGGGACTAGAAAAAAGATGCAAATCAAACTAAAGCAATTTCATTTTTTAAAAGTCATCTACTTTTAAAAGTTTGGATCTTTTAACTATTAATAAGTTATGATGATGTAATGAAATTTTCAAGCAACAATTGTATTTTTTCATTGCAGCAACGGTATACATAATTCATATCTTGTTTCTAAGCTTAACAAATGTGTTTTCTAGAGATGAGGTCTATTTCCACTATATGATTGTTCTCTGCATAACCACTTTTTGAAAAGGTTTATACACTTACTTATGACATCTATTGATCATTTTTTTCCTTTTAATTGTGAATCTAGGCTCAATACTGCATGCTGAAATTTTTGTCTTTGTATCTTTGGTAATTTAAAGTGATCAGATTTGACTTTTAATAATTAATTAACCTAATGTAGAACTATTATTCTTCCACACAAACACATATATGTATTAACACCACATTTGACAATTTAAAATAAGTTAGATGCAAAGTCTTATTGTCGATGAGAAATGAAACAAAGCAGTTTTAACTTGATTTTACGACTTTTAGAATCTTGTCCCTGAGAATATCATTTTTTTCATTTAGACCCTTTTAATCTATTTATTAGTAAACCTCAGAAACAAAGTTGATGAAAAAATTTCTTTAAATTCAATAGAGGTTGACCACTGAGAAATTATGCTGATTTAAATAAATTTCCCATGAGGTGCTGAAACCTAATAACAATAATAATGCTCATCCCAGATTTGAGTTCTTTTGGTTTTTTTGGTCACTGGCCAGTATGAGGAACCAAACCCGTGATCTTGGGGTTATAAGGCTGTGCTATAACCAAATGAGCTAACTGGTCAGCCCCCAGATTTTTTTAAAAAAATCAATTTAGAGTTGATATACAAGAATTCTTTTGGAAAATAAAAATATCAGTTACTGGCTTACAATTTTTCAATGTTTACTTCAGATCATTTTAAAGTTATTTTCCTGGCCCCCTATCCCCTTAAAGACAAACAGATTAGGTAGTTTAAAAAAAAAAAAAGAAATTTTAAAAAAATTCTCCTTTTTATCTCTAACCGTATACACATACTGGCTTAAAAAAAAATTACATGTAAGAAGGAAGAGCCGTTTGTAAAGTGTAGGATGTAATTTTTTAATGACCAAATAGGAAAGTGTCATAATCAGTGCTTTAAAAAAGTGAAACACAGAGTGAAAATCAGAGCTCTTTTTAGAGAAGTCTTCTAATTATTTCTTCTAAGAAAACCAATTGGAATACAGGATGGCTCTGTCCCACAGCAAACTAAAACTACTTAGACACACCCTCCCCTAACATATATACAGAAAATGTGTCTTAACCAATTTGGAAGAAAGCAAAATTCTAGGTGTAGAAATCTGTTTTCTCAAATTATTCTTTTTAGTTTGAGTCAGTCCCAGGCTGCTGCTTATACCAGTGACCCCTTCTGGAGCCTGGCTGCAGGGCTTGTACTCCACTGGAAGGATGTGAGGCACCTGCTGCCACAGCAGGGAATTAACAAATGAGAGACCATTACAGCCCCTCAGGAGTTGAAGAATTCTTTAAAGTCTGAATATTTGGGGAACACAGACCAAGGCTGTTGCCCTGATCTTCCATTTCTGAAATCATACCTTTAAGTTAAAAATTTCTATTTTGCAAATTTCCGTATATCAAAAGATATTACGGAATGTAAATCATGGTATCTTCTGAAAAGGAAGAAGAAAATAAAGTCCTTCACAGGAGTCTTTTTCTTTTTTCGGTGTCTTAAATGTCAACGATCACAAAAACTTCTGGTTTCTCTTCATTATAGACCTGCATTGCTGAATATGTTATTGCTTTTACTTCCGTTCCCTAAAGTTGGGGTTAGAGAAAAAACAAACAGGAAAAAAAAAGAATACTGACATTGAATTATTAACTCTAGCAACAACTGGCAGAAAGTAAATATTCTGAAAAAAGTTCCTGCTCCTACAAGAAAGCCGACTTCTCCACTTGAGTACTTGATCCTTCACACCCCCTCCCCCTTACCCACTTAAGGTCTTTGAAATTATCCTCTCCCTCTCCAGCATATCACTTTTCCCCTCTTTCCTAGATCACTTCCACTCGGCATACAGTGGTGCTACAAAATCTCCTAGCTTAAACGAGACAAAATAAAAACCTTCTCCCGTACTATCCACATTTCCTTCTAGCTACTACTGTTCTACCCACCTGTTCCCCATTTCTGCAATCTCTTCCAAAAATTATCTATATACTGCCTCTACTTTCTCACCTCTCATCCCCTCTCTAACCCATTCCAAATATCTACACACTATCTACTGATTAGTAAATCCAATGGTCAAGTCTCAACCCATTATCCTACTTGACTCTGAGTAGTCTCAGTGGCACTGGATGTCTGGCTTCTAGGGCATCCCTCTTCTTTTGCTCCCTCTCACTAGGCTCTCCTCCCTTTTCTTCTTTTTGGCTCCTTCCCTTTCAAACTTAATGCCTCAAGGTTCAGTTCTCCCATGACTCTTTCTTATTTACACTCACTTCTTGGTAATTTTATTTACTCTAATGGCTATAAATATCTATTCAGTGATGACTCCCAAATTTATATGTCCAGAATACCTGTCCCCTAAACAAATCTTCCTGTAGCCAAATGCCTATTATCCAATATCTCCATTTAGATGTCTAACAGGCATCTCAAACACCACATGTTCAAAAACCTGCCCTTCCCCCAGCCTTTCCTAAATAAAGTACTCAGTTATTCAGGCCCACCTATATACCCTTGATTCTTACACGTAGTAACAGTATAGCATCTACCTTCAAAATAAATCTTAAATCTGATCACTTCTCATCACCTCTACCAGTGTAATCCTAGTCCAAGCCACCATCCATCTCTCATCTGGACTATTGTAGAGGCCTCCTAAATGGATTTTCTGCTTCCATTCTTGCCACTTTATGGTCTATTCTTGGTCATTTTAAAACTCAAATCAAATCATATAATTCCCATGATTAAAATACTCCTATGGCTTCCCATCACACTAAGAATAAGATCCACATGCCCTACCATAGCCTTGAGGCTATGGCCCTGCCTACCTGTACAACCTCGTCTCCTACTATTCTCCCTTACTCTCTCAGCTCCAGCAGTACTGCCCTTGCTATTCTTTGAATATAATCTGTCTCACTTAAGGCCCTACACACCCATTTCTTCTGCCTAGAAAGTTCTTCCCCAATATCTCTACTCATTTCTCATCTCTGGCCTCTACTTAAATGTCACCTCCTAAGATATGCCTTTTCTGACCACCTTTTCCCCTTTCCCAGCCACTCTTACCTTACCCTGATAGTGCTGTTCACTAACTGAAATTATATTATTTATTTGTTTACATGTTTGTCTGACTCTCTTGTCTCACTAGATTTTTAAACTCAGTGACGGTACAGACTTCCTTTGTCCTGTTCCCTCTCTACCTAAAGTGCCTAAAATAATGTCTGGCACATTGTAGGCATTCAATAAATATTTGCTGAATGTATGTATGAATTAATGGATGGATGGATATGAACTAGTGGAGAGAAATAAGGACAGAATTAAAACCAAGAAGATATTTTTAAACCAGGAAATATTCCAGGAACCAGATATTTTAATGCTCTATTCATAAAACAGTCCTTTTTCAGATCCCTGTACCCGCCAGCCACCAAAAAAAAAGGTCCTTTTTGCTTTGAAAGGTTATTTGATCATTTATATAAAAAAATAAGAAGACTGTTACATGGTAAAACTCTAAAATAAGATTATTTATATTGGGTCCCTAGATTTTGTAATATGAGGGTACTTCAAAAAGTTCATGGAAAAACAGAATCAAAAAATAAGTATAAGGGCCAGCCCATGGCTCACTTGGGAGAGTTTGGTGCTGATAACACCAAGGCCACAGGTTCGGATCCCTATATAGGGATGGCTGGTTCGCTCACTTGGGAGAGCGTGGTGCTAACAACACCAAGTCAAGGTTTAAGATCCCCTTACCGGTCATCTTTTAAAAAAGAAAGATATAAGTCTTTCGCCTTTTATTAAAAGATAATATGAATCTTTTTTTTTTTTTAGGTAGGTACAGGGAATTTTTGAAGACCCCTTGTATGTTAAATTCAAAAACAGCACTCTAGCTGATATACCATGTACAGATCATTGGAATCAAAGCAGCAGTAGATTACTTTTTTTTGGTTTCTGACACAAAAACAAAGGCGAATTCCAAATGAAAAAGCAAGAGAGAAAAGGTTTTGTGTTGTGTGTAAAATACATCTTTTGTTAGTAGGCATAAAATTGTCTAGGATTCTAGGCCGGCCCGTGGCTCACTTGGTAGAGTGCGGTGCTGATAACACCAAGGCCACGGGTTCGGATCCTATATAGGGATGGCCGGTTTGCTCACTGGCTGAGCGTGGTGCTGACAACACCAAGCCAAGGGTTGAGATCCCCTTACCGGTCATCTTAAAAAAAAAAAAAAAAATTGTCTAGGATTCTGAGAATTCTTTTGGTTTTTAACTGTACATTTTTCAAAAATAAATAATTCACTTCATCTTCTTTCTTCAAAAGCCTCACCCATTAATTAAAGTCCAGCTGTATATAGAGGCTTCAACATTTAATTTGATTCTATTAATCCTTTCGTATTTATATTTGCTTGCCTCAAAAACTGTTAGCAGTAAATAAAATTAAGTTAGTATAATCCATTCTGAGTACTCCAAGTGGCTAATATGAATTTAGAATATCTGAAATTTGATAAGCTGGCCTGGTCTTAGGGACCAGGTTATCTCATGCTATCTATATAGGTATTTCATTGAATTTTGAAGAGTGGAGCAAAAGAAGTAAAGTACTTCCCACGTGTTCAGTTTAGGGAAATGGAGTCATTGTACTTTAACACTTTACTATTTCATTAGCCAGCTCTTCAGTATTTCGTATTACTGGCATACTGCGTTAATCATTTTCTATTAACTTCAGGGAATAGAACCACCCTTCTAGGCCACATTATTGTCCTATTCATAGCAGTATTCCCCCTCTGAAAGAAACCCAAAGGCATATGTTATGGTTATCCCCTATTATGTCTCCTTAATGTTTTTTGTTTTTTGCAGCTGGCCAGTGCAGGGATCTGAACCTGTGACCCTGGTGTTATAACACTGTGCTCTAACCAACTGAACTAACTGGCCAGCTACAACCCCCTTTTAAAACTTTTATTTATTTATTTTTTAGTGGCTGACCGGTATAGGGAACCAAACCCATGACTTTGGTTTTATAAGGCTGCACCCTAACCAACTGAGCTAACCGGCCAGACCGTCTCCTTAAAATGTTATGTTATGCCCCAAATATACTAGTTTCCCTTAGAAATACTCACTGTGCCATTTGTATCATAATATGTTTTCAATTCACACACCCCTCTCTGCTGGTTTCTCTTCTTTTTATGTATCTCCCTCCTCCCAAACTTGTCCAAATGGCTATGGCTCACAAATCCCTCGCCAGCCTTCATTTTATTATATCGTTGTTTTTTTTTTTAAAAGATGACCGGTAAGGGGATCTCAACCCTTGGCTTGGTGTTATCAGCACCGCACTCTACCGAGTGAGCCACGGGCCGGCCCTATATCGTTGTTGAAGAAATAATATTGCAGTTACTGGAAGCAACCAAAATTTCCCAGTCACCTACAACTAATTTAACCCCCCTTGACTTAAACACAAGGGTCAGCAAACTACAGCCCACGGGCCAAATCTGGCCTGCCACATGTTTTTGCAGAGTCCCACAAAATAAGAATGATTTTTATATCTCTGAGTGGTTGGAAAAAAAAAATCAAAATAATATATCATGACATTTGAAAAGGATATGAAATTCTAATTTCAATATCCATAAATAAAGTTTTACTGGAACACAACCACAGTCATTCATTTATGTGTTATCTATGACTGCTTTAGTGCTATAACGAAAGAATTGAGTAGTTGCTCTCTTACTGCTCTTGTCCCAGAAATCTTAAAACACTTTTTATTTGGCCCTTTACAAGAAAAATTTGCCAACCCATGTTGCAACAGATTTGCCTATTACAGAGGGAGGTCACATAAGCTGGCAAATACAGAATCTAGAGAAATAGAGAAGGTAGGAGGAATTTTAGATAACCTCTAGTCCAAAACCTTCATTCTAGGAGAAGAAACCAAAGCTTGAAAAAGCAAAGGGACTTAAGTCCCACAACAATCTGTAACAAAACCTGACCCTAGAACTCAATGCTAACTACTAAAACACCAAATCGGATGTGTGAAATTACAGTATTTTAACACAATATCCAGACAATTCAGAGAAGTTTGGGAAAAAACTTACTACTCAACACCAATTATTAGAATGACTTTTTACTGTCACATATACAGACTTTATGGGAAGGAAGTATAAAATGTTTTTAATGGCTGGATTTTAAAACATACCTGAGGGTGCTTGGACAATGAAAATTCTTCTCCCCACCTTGAGAAGGAAAATTAAAACATGATTAAGATTTCCAAGATTGAACATTTATTCTCTCTTTAAATATTTAAAAATAAGCCTTACAAATGTGGTTAAGATACTAGAAAGGCAAAAGAGATGGGAGGAGTAGGAGAGCTATAAATTTCATTTTGATTTGCTAGCAGGTGTTGAAGGACTTGTGTGCAAAAGCCACTGGTTACTCTCAAGATTAATAGTAGGGCTCAAAAAAAAAAAAAATGCCCCAATAATGTGCTTATGGTGGACTCTCAATAAATACTGCTTAATAAATATTGTTTCATAACAGAGTAGCGTATTCAAAACTTACTGTACTCAGAGCTATAGAATTAAATAATATCTCCCATTGGAAAAAGCAGGTCTGAGTACCGCAAAGGCAAAATATGATTTGAACTTAGTTTGCATTTTGTAACTTTCCCAAAAATGTCCATGATCTGTATAGAGAAGGCTCTAGAAAAGTACTCTCCTAGAATCTGGAATAAGTCTCCTCTCTCCCTTTGACACTAATGTAGCTGGAGATCACAATGTGGTATAGTAGAAAGAGCAAAGTTTTACAATACTGTTCAACCACTTATTAGCTAAGTAAGTACCTTTGGACAAGCCTGTTTCCTTACCCATAAAAAAGTTAAAAAGGAGGGAGAAATAATAGAAGACCTCACTTTACAAAAAGAAACTAATAAAATTAAATATAAAATGGAAAAAATAAGCTATATACATAAATAACCTAAAATATACAATTAAGGGACTAAAGAAACTTGGGAAACAAGTCCAACCAAAGTGACCTAATCAAGTATTTGCAAACCCTGGAAGGAAAAGTATAATTTGTGAATGGAAGGAACTGGTTTGAATGGGTCTAGAAGAGAAGATCTATGAGAATGGATGTGTCAGTGTTTCTCATCCACCAAACTGGGCTTTACGCTGTGCCATTTAGCAATTCTACATACATGTACACACACACATGTATTTTTTTCCTCCCTAAAAATCAACAAATTGGGAATCGGGCTTAACAATCAGAATCAACTTTATTCTGACAAGTTTCTGGTCCTCCAAAGCTCAGGTGAGCCCTCATTCCTAAGTGTCTTACAAAGCTCAATCTACAAAGCACTACCAGAATGCAAGTGGTCCTTTGACCTATTTAATGTTTCTGTCCTCCTGCCCACTGAATTCAGTGAAGAATATAACTTTAACATCCTTCATGACTTGCTACTAAAAAGAGTTAACACTTACCCAATTGACCGTAATTTGAAATTTCTTTGATCAATATTAAGTACTTTCACTTCCTAAAGAGGAAAAAAAATTTTCAATTTAAAAACATGTTCATAATAGACTATGATATTTTGAAAATATACATTTGGTCTTCATCCCCATCACCTGACATAAAAATCCTAAAATCATTAGAATCTCCAAAATGATGAGTCTTTTTGTATACTATTGATGGCTGGCAGCCCCTAGGTAGCTTCAGGACAGAGGCTGGTCACAGAAAAGACAAAGGTGGAATTTTCAGTCCCACCCTCCAACCTCCAATGGGGGAAGAGGGACTGAAGGTTAAATTGATCACCATTGGCTAATGATTTAATCAACCATGACTGTGTAATGAAGCCTCCATAAAAACCCAAGAGTCCTGTGTTCAGAGAACTTCAAGATAGCTCAACATGTGGTGTCCGAAGTGTAGCATACCCAGTGAGGGCATGGAAGCTCTGTGCCCCTCCCCCCATACCTTGCCCTATGCATCTCTTCATCTGTATGCTTTGTAATATCCTTTATAATAAACCACTAAACGGGGCCGGCCCGGTGGCGCACTGCTACAGTGCGCCGCTTGGGAAGCGCGGCGGCGCTCCCGCCGAGGGTTCGGATCCCACATGCAGACCGGCCGCTCACTGGCTGAGCGAGGAGCGGGGGCAACGCCGAGGGTTGCGATCCCGTAGCGGTCATGAAAAAAGACAAAAAAAAAAATAAATAAATAAATAAATAATAATAATAAACCACTAAACGTAAGTACATGTTTCCCTGAGTTCTGTGAGCCACTCAACGAAAAAAGACAAAAAAAAAAAAATTAAAAAAAAATAATAATAATAAACCACTAAACGTAAGTACATGTTTCCCTGAGTTCTGTGAGCCACTCAGGCAAACTAATCGAACCCAAGGAAAGGGCTGTGGGAACCCTGATTTATAGCTGGTTGATCAGAAGTACCAGAGGACTGGACTTGTGACTGACATCTGAAGGGGGGGGCAGTCTTGGAGACTGAGCACTCAGCCTGTGGGATTTGATGCTATCTACCTGGAGTTTATATATTTGAGTTAAATTGGAGGACAGCCAGCTGGTGTCCGCTGAAGAACTGGCTTGTTTGCCAATGGCGAGAACTCCCCACACATTTGGTCACAGAAGTCAGTCTGCTGTGTTGATTGCTGCTGAGTAAGACTGTACAGAAAATACACTTCTGTGTGTTTTCCCACTTCTTCCTACATAGACCATCTATTAAATCATGTCTAGGTTACTACCTTTCCAGAAAACAATAGCATACAACTTCTCTGAAGCAAAGAAAATTTAAATGTTAACTAAAATAGAAAAATAAACTAAACATATTTCAAGGAAATAAAGTTTTTTTTCTAACATATTTAAGGGAGGTATTCTTGAAAAATGTACAATCTAAAAACATGAGTCAGGCGGCTGGCCAGGTGGCTCATTTGGTTAAAGCATGGTGCTGATAACACGAAGGTCAAGGGTTTGGATCGCCATACCAGCCAGCCACCAAAAAAACCCAAACAAACCATGAGTCAAAAGAGTTTCTTTTTGAGATACATGGTAGAGGAAGAGAATATAAGATTTCAATCACTCTCAGCCTATTTTTACATACTATTGTAAGCACCTGAACTACTAGGATGAGGGACTCGGTAGAGTGTATGTAGTGGAGCTAGTAAGGGAGAGAATGGAGAAATTATGAAAGCACAAAGGGTCTTGTATTTTAAATAACAATGATGTTGGAGAGGTATTCCCTTCTAGAGGATGACAGAGCAAGCAATCTCTCATTTGACTTTTCCTTTTTTCACGTTAAAGAAAACCAAAAGCAGCAATTTAACTTAGGCCATGACAGAGCTGCTAAATTTCAAACAGAACAAAAGGAACATATGAATGGATATAAACATAAATCAAACTTGGGAGACATAAAAAGTGTGGATGAAGACTGTAGGAGCATTCTTATCACACAATCCTGATTAGTGACAAGTACATATTCAGAGCTCTAAATACAAAATGCTTACACACAGGCAAACTCAGGTCAAGAAAAATGCTTATGGTCATTATAATTTCTGCAAATCAGTATCGTCTTACATATCTGTATGGATTGGTCTTGCCCCACATTTCTATTTTAATTCACTCATTCTATTTTAAAATATGAACTAAGAACCCATTTGCTTAGTAAAAAAGAAAAATCCTTGCTTACCCGGGGTATGAAGAATTCATCAGCACTGAACTTATAAAGCCACTCATCCAAAAAGTGAAACAGAAGAGATTGTAAGTCATCTCCTACACAGGATCAAAGAGAGCCATAATAGTATGATGTTTAATAATTCTGGTCTCTAGGCTGGCCGGTTAGCTCAGTTGGTTAGAGTATGGCCATTGGATCCCTGGACCAGCCGGATGCAAAATAAATAAATAAATAAATAAAATAATAATAATAATTCTGGCCTCTAAAAACTTGTTTGAATTTAAAAGTGCAATGAATTTCTTAGGCTAGCTGAAAGAGAAAGAACAGGCTCATACCCAGTTTTGTTGTTCTTATTGTGAAAATATACACAATTATGTAGTATACCACACATTTGTATAACAATTTCTTCCTTGTGAATAAAGCACTTACCTTGGGTTTCTACTTCTATTGTTTGGAGGGGCTCCACAGTCCCAGTATCTGTCATGTAACCAAACATGGCCATTGCACATTGCTCAAATGCTTCTTCCAGAGTATTTCCCCATGCGTGTAACCTAAAGAAACACACGCATGTTCTGTGTAATATAATGCACCACGAGAAAGAAAACTTGATGGCAAAGTCGAAATAAAATCAGCATCACAAATACAAAACTAAAGGCCTCAATCAATTTAATGGCACTGAAACTGAGTGCTTTTAAATCATCATTTTCATGTTGTGAAGAACCAAAATGAGAGAAGAAAAATTAAAACTAGGGACACCAAGATTAAAATATTTTGCCTTCCGGGCTGGCCCGGTGGCGCACTGGATAGTGCGCCGCTTGGGAAGCGCGGCGGCGCTCCCGGCCTTCCGGGCCGGCCCGGTGGCGCACTGGATAGTGCGCCGCTTGGGAAGCGCGGCGGCGCTCCCGTCCGAGGGTTCGGATCCCATATACAGACCGGCTCCCGCTCACTGGCTGAGCGAGGCGCGGGAGCAACACCAAGGCTTGCGATCCCGTTGCCGGTCCCCGGTCCGGTACAGGGGCAACACAGGGTTGCGATCCGTTGCCGGACACGGAAAAAAGACAAAAGACAAAAAAAAAAAAAATACTTGGCCTTCCTATTTAAAGACAGTTTCAAAGGGACAAACTCCAGCTATACTTACTGGACATCTGCTGTGTGGTCCAAATCTGAGAGAGAGAGGGAAAAACACTTATTATTCACTAAACTTGACTCTCAAATCACAAGAAAATAACTCTAGTTCATAATTATTAAGAACATCATGCTTAAAGAGAAAAAAATGTGGGGCAATTTATACCTTTTGCTATCCATTTACTCAACAAAGTTAATTGTTTTGTAATCGCTTTGTTAGGAGTATTTCTGTTTGTCTTTGGCTGGCCCCTTGATCTTGGTGTTACAAGGTGGTGCTCTAACCAACTGAGCTAACCGGCCAGCTCAAGGTTATTTTTTTTACAGCCAAGGTTTATATTTAAAGGAATGACAATTTCTGGAAGGCAGCAGGGCCAGGGTCATCCAGGTGACCTAAAAAGTGTCTAAGACATTACAGTCTCTGAGTAAACAAATGCCATTTTCTGCTATTACTTTTCTTCAATGAGACAAATCTGTATCTTTTGTAAATATCTACTGTGTGAATAATCTAAAATTCTAGGAACTACGTCATCATCAAAGATATAAAATCCTAGATTTCTCTCTGTCTCACCTTTTCATGAACAGCTAGCCTAAACCTAGATAAAGTTAGCTCCACAACATTCATCATGAGCTTTTTTCCCTATATTCCCACACCAGAAAGTAACAACAGCTACTATAGCATGCTCCCATTGCTTCTGTTATCTCAACATTTTCAGAGGTTATATTCTTCACCCATACTGTGACTTCCATCAATTCTTCCCACTTTAGACCACAGAACATTATGGCTAAAAGGAATTCTTGGAGATCATTTAATATAATTCTTTCACTTACAAGAAGAAACCTGAAATGCTGAGAGACTGTATGACTTGTTCAGGACTATGCAGAGTTGGGACTAAAACTGAGGTTTTCTGACTTCCAGTTTAGCACACATTGCACCATAACACACTGTCTTCTGGTAGCACTTGAGGTTCAAATTCATCTCTAATTCACTCAGAAATATTATTGAGGACTTAAGTTTTAGGCTGTATGGGGCTCAATGACCAGCAGAAATGACACACAAAAGAAAATAACTGGTATTAACCCTAGAGAAATGAAAGCATGTGTTCACAAAAAGATATAAGAATGTTCACAGCAATTTTATTTCCAAAATTTAAAAATCCAATATTCACCAATAAGAGAACAGATAAACTGAGGTATAATCATACAATGGAATACTACTATTAAGCAATTAAAAAGCATGAACTACTGATACATGTGTTGAGATGAATCTCAAAATATTATGTTGAGAAACTACAGAACTCCATCTGAACCTCTGCACTTTTTTTTTTCTTGGGCGCATGGCTGGTCCAGGGATCCAAACCCGTGACCTTGGTGTTATAATGCTGCGCTCTAACCAACTGAGCTAACTGGCCAGCCCCCAAACCCCTGCACTTCACCAAACTCTAACGTGGCTTCTAGCAGCATAAGGCCATGTCCCTAGGATGATTCGATCCTCCCCCCAACCATTAAAACGACTGCCTAGGGCTGGCCAGTTAGCTCAGTTGGTTAGAGTGTTGGTACTGATAATAACACGAAGGTCCACGGTTCAATCCCTGTACTGGCCAGCTGCCATATAAAATAAAATAAAGTAAAATGCCTGTCTGAGAAATCTCAAAAGGGCCAGGAGAATTGTTTGTTCTAGCCAACACTTGACATAGGCCCCTGAACTCCCTTTCTTAGAGCTTGTACTAAAAAGGGATTACAATTGTGAATATGTATCTTTTACAACTCAGAAGCCTCTTTCTCAAGGACCTGTGAGCCATTCCTTTGAAATGTAATCATCAGGAAGAATAAGGTCTCTGTCTCCCAGTCTCTGTGGGAGGACAGAATCCTATCTTCAAAAACTTTCAACTAGCAGACACAGCTGACCTATCACATTTAAACTGACCAATCCTTTGTACTTTTTCAATTCTCTGACTCTGCTAAGCTCTACTTTCTCCCCTCCCTTACTCTCCCTTTAAAATGCCCAATCAGCTCCAAAGAGGAGCTCAGCTTTCCCCCAATTGTCAGTAAGTTACTGAATAAAATCTGTTTTCACCACTTATGTCCAGTCGTGTTTATCTTTGCAGTGTTGGTTACACAGATGTATCTGTTTATCAAAACTCATTGGACTGTACACGGAAGGGTTATGTGATTTGCTTAAAGTCACTAAGCTAATAAATGCCAAAACCAGGTCTTTTTACTAACACGATAGAAGTAAAACACCTGGGCAGGCCGGTTAGCCAAATCGGTAGAGTGTGGTGCCGGTAACACCAACGTTAAGAGTCATTAACATTGCCGGTCGGCCGGCAAAAAAAAAAAAAACTCTCCCACTTAGCTTTCCGAGTTCTCTAACCTGGCCACACTCTATCCCACTATTGAAGATACTTGTGGGCGACAACGCCGCAAACGCTTGAAAATACGGTTATCTTTAGAATTAGCACATGTGGAAGATAATCAAGAGACTGTAAATGTGGGAGCCCAGGTTTCCCGACTCTCAGCCCAGGTGATTTTTTCCTTCAGCATACCCGGGTAAAGTACAGGAGGCTACAATTCAGGGCGCAATAAAATCATGCCTGAAGCACCTATGGGGCAAAGTAAAAGCCAAGGCCGGAAGCCGCGGGTAAGCAGAGAGGCTGCCCGTGTGCCTGAACAGAGAAGTGAGCCAGCTACTCACACTCGTACTTCCGAACGACTGGAGGATACTTGGCCTTTATCGCTTTCTGCTCTTCTGTCAAATTGTAATCTCTAATATCTTCCTCTTCCTGCGCCATAACTACAAGACTAGCCACTCTACTTCCGCCCTTCAAGTGCCGGACTTCGGTGCTGCGCTACAACTTCCGCTCTAGACTCCTCCCTTTCGTATGCACCCTTAAAGGACCCGGACTCCATTCTCGTAGCTCGCGGACGTATTTCAGCCCGTAAGGTTTCCATCCTAGGCCTTGCCATTTGTATCTGTTTAAATGGCCAAGACCCCATCTTCTGCGCTTGCTTCACTGCTAGTTCTTTTTGAAGACCAAGGAAACAAGTTGAGGGACACCTTGAATCAGACACCTATAGGTCTGAGTGGTGGGGCCTTTTCTCTCCGTTCCTCCCCCCCAGAGTTCATAACTAGACCCGAAAGCAACCTCGATTTCTCATCTTCGCACTCTCACTGGGTCGTAAGCTTAGCAGCCTTTAAGAAAATGGCTGCCCTCGGGAGTGGGGCGACTAAACTCCCTCACGTGACTCTGGACCGGCGCACTCCCATCAACCCCCGCGCTCAATCGCTGGAAGTCAGCTCCGGGCTGTGTGGGGGAAGGGGCTGAGCGCAAGCCTCGGACCCGCGGAAAGCGACTCTGCGAGTCTGGATAGGCCCCGAACGCGGCTTCCCCGCCCACCCCGCCGTTTGATGCGCTCCGATTGGCTGGTGTTGGCGCGAAGGGGCGCGAGTCAGCCCTCACGCAGGGGCCGCAGGAAACAATAGAGGCCGCGCGCTGAGCGAGCGCCCGCAGCGTCCCCCCGCCCCTGCAACGCTCGACCCCGGGATCGACCCCGGGATCCCCCCCGGCTCTCCTGTCCGCCATGGCCGATAAGGAAGGTGAGGGTGCCGGGGCCACCCCAGGAGGGTGGGGGATGTGGGGACTGCGCCGCGGCCTCGACACGGCCTAACAGTGAAGGCAGGCCCGACCTGGCTGAGTGCAGTCCCCAGCATCGAAGGCGTGAGGAGGGCGCTCCCCGCGGGGCGGGCTAACGGCGCGCCAGTTCTTCAGGAGCGGTTGCCCGTCGCCGCGGGGCGAAGCTGGCGGGGGGGGGGGGCCCCGGTACAGCAGTGTCCTTCCTTGCGCTTTCTGTCGGTCTCTCCGCCTTCCCCCCGGCCTCCCCGCACCGCCCTCTGCCCCCACGGCCCGGTGCTCGGGCCTCCTCGTCGGTCCTGTGGACGTTCCTCGCGAGCGTGCTTCGAAGGCCCAGACCCGAACGGGTAGCGGAGGGTCTGGCTGGGGTGACCTGAGGAGTTCCGGCCCCGCGAAGGTGGAGAGGAGGGTTAGTGCAAGATGGGGAGAGATTTAGACAATCCCTCCACTACAGAGGACGTAGGAGCCATGCCTGTGGCCTTGGAGAGGTTTTCTCGGTTTCCGTTACAGTTCGCTAACTTAGTGTGTTTTAAAAAATTTTAGCAGCCTTTGACGACGCAGTGGAAGAACGTGTGATCAACGAGGAATACAAAATATGGAAAAAGAACACTCCTTTTCTTTATGATTTGGTGATGACCCATGCTCTGGAGTGGCCCAGCCTAACTGCTCAGTGGCTTCCAGATGTAACCAGGTGACATGAATGTCTTGAACGTCATTTGATGTGTCTTCAGTATAGATTTCTCACATTGATTTTCTGTTTTCCTCTCTCCAGTCACCCATAGAGGGCATGTGATCAAAACCTATTGGTGTCAGTTTTTTCTTTTTTCTTTTTTTTTTAAAGATGGCCGGTAAGGGGATCTTAACCCTTGACTTGGTGTTGTCAGCACCACGCTCACCCAGTGAGCTAACTGGTCATCCCTATATGGGATCCGAACCCGTGGCCTTGGAGTTATCAGCACCACACTCTCCCGAGTGAGCCTTGGGCCGGCCCCTGTGTCAGTTTTTTCTAGGCCAAAAAGTAAGGCAAAAATGTAGAATTATTTTGTACTTTACCTGATAAGAAAAAACATGTTGGCGTTTTCTTTCTGTGATACTGAATTGAATAGCTATATTACAACTATAGTTGACCAAATAAGAATATAATGCTTGTCAGCTTTCAAGGAGTACTATGAGTCCAGTTCTTTCAACAGAACGTATTTGAATTTTCACATTTATGGGTAGAGCAAAGATGAATATATATCATGGTAACTGCCTTCAAGGAGCACATTGTCTAGTTGAAGAGGCAGATCACACTAACAATTATAGTTATATGTGATGAGAGCATTTATAGAGAGATTATTAGGATACTTAGAACACACCCGGGGCTGGCCTGGTGGCGCGCTGCTACAGTGCGCCGCTTGGGAGTGCGGTGGCGCTCCCGCTGAGGGTTCGGATCCCACATACAGACCGGCCGCTCACTGGCTGAGCGAGGTGCGGGAGCAACACCGAGGGTTGCGATCCCGTTGTCGGTCCCGGTCCGGTACGGGCACGACACTGAGGGTTGCAATCCGTTGCCGGTCACGAAAAAAGACAAAAAGGGAAAGAAAAAAAAAAAAAAACACCCAAAGGGGGGATGGTTTTCATATAAGGGAGTTGGGCATAGTGAGGGCTATAGAGATTAGTCACGTATTTCTAAGAATGTAGCTCATGTCTAATTGAGGGAATAAAATAATTTACATTTATTGAGGCACTACTAGATACTACATATCAGAGGATACATTAGTTATAATTAGATATAATGTAATAAATATATTTATATAGAGAAGGAAGATCAGGGGTTAATTAATTATAATTGCCATAAGAGTGGCACAGATGAAATTATCACAAGAAGGAAATTTTTTACCTCTGCTTTCAGGAGGAAGTAATGCAATGATGAAGGTAAATTTAGATGATAGATATTAATATAAAATTTCAGCAAAACCACTGTGCCTGTTGTAATAATGGATTTTCTTTTATAAAACTTTTGCTTTTCAGAGTAACATTCAAAAATCATTGTGGCTGAATAAACTGCTTTAAAACTTAAATTTTTAGAAGTCAAAATATTTGCAAAACATTGTTATTAGACTATGATTCAGCTCAATAAGTAGAAGAAATTTGATTTTTTTTTTTTGTCTTTTTTCGTGTCCGGCAACGGACTGCAACCCTCAGTGTCGCGCCCGTACTGGACCGGGACCGGCAACGGGATCACAACCCTTGGCACTGCGCCCGCCCCTCGCTCATCCAGTGAGCGGGAACCGGTCTGTATGTGGGATCCGAACCCTCCCCTCGGCGGGAGCGCCGCCGCGCTTCCCAAGCGGCACACTGTAGCAGTGCGCCACCGGGCCGGGCCCCAGAAATTTGATATTTTAGTAATAACTTAGGAACGAGGCCGCTACCTTTACAGTGGCATGAGGAAAAATGGGGAAATCTGTCCTACAGATGTTATACAAAACCATAGTAAATGTAAATACATAGTAAAAACCTAGAAATTTAGAGTTGAAAGCTTTTTTTTTTTTTTTTTTTTTCTTTTCATAATCAGGAGTTCCCACATTCAGCATTTAAGAACTTGTGGTAGAGTACTTGATGAGAAATAGTTGAATGGTGTTTCCAGGTTTACTATAGTTAGGTGCTAAATTGTGTATAGAGGACCAGTAGGTCTCAACTATTGGCCACCCGTACCTACTAAATCATTCTGGACCCATATTTTTCTAAAGTTTCACACGTAATGATTAACTAGGTTTGAAAAGCAATGAATTAAACTAAATTTCTCAAGGCTGAAATCTGCACTGTCATCTTAGTAGCTTTCAACTTTGGCAGATCTAGGTAAATAATGTGGGGATTTTTTGGTTTTGTTTATTATTACTTGTATTTTTTCTGTCCTTTTTCTTTTATCTTTTATTTCCTCCGTCCTTTTTCTATGTAGGATAGACATTCTTACTGCTTTGCCTATTACATCTGTGCAAAGGAATTCCTATTAGCATCTCTAGACTCAAATTCTTCTGATCCCTTCCTGATTTTTCAGCTGCCTAGTGGTGTCTTCTCTTGAGTATCTTATTGGCTTCCCCAACTTGACATGTTTCAAACTGAGTGATTCATTCCATGGAGGTCCCACCTCAACTTTCTCATCCTGTTGTTCCTGTTTTTCTTTATCATAGTTGGCTTTGGTTTGGCATTTCCTAGGTTTTTCCCTTTCTTTACTTGACTAGCAGTCAATTTATAAGCCCCAATGAATTCTACTTGTGCAGCATCTTTTTCATCTAGACCAAAGGTCTCAAGCTTTAATATGCATCATAATCAGCTGGAGGTGTTGCAAAACAGATTGTTGTGCCCCAACACCTAGAGTTTCTAATGTAGTAGGTCCAGTGGATCTGAGAATTTATATTGCTAACCATTTCCCAGATGATGCTGATGGTCCTGGGACCACATATTAAGAACCTTTGCTTTACACTGTTAGATTAAACTTTCTGAGGTAACTTAAATGATGCTATGTCCCTGCTTGGAAACTTTGTTCCCTACAGTAGATTCTAGCATGCCTTAAACTGGCATTCAAAACACTAAAGAATCTGCTTTCTAGTCTCCCTCACTGTGCTTTCCTATATCCAAAGTCATGTTTGCACTTCAGTCTTAGTTCTTTTGTTTGTTTTAATTTTTTTTATTGTGACATAGTTGAATGTACATATCTGTGAGGTACATAGTTAAGTATCAGTACTTGTGAGCAGTATGTGATGCTCAAATCAGAGTAATTATTGTATTCAATAATATACACTGTTATTGCTATTTGTGGCCCTTTACCAATTCCTCCCTCCTCCATCCCTTCCGTCTTCTAGTAACCTCAGTTCTCCTTTTCGGTCGTAGTTCTGTTACTTAGTTGTGTGATCTTAGGCAGCTTGCTTGATTTTCCTAAAATTCAAGTGTCTTCATTTTCAAATTTGGGTAATACTTCATGGCATTATGGTGTTTAAATTAATCTGTAAAGTGTCTAACATGGTGTTTGGCACTTTTTTTTTTTTTTTTTTTTTGGCCGGTTTAAGGATCACTTGGTGTTATCAGCACCATGCTCTAACCACCTGAGCTAACTGGCCAGCTCTGTGTTTGGCCCTTTTAAATCTGTCATTTCTGAGATCTCGTCATGTCTCACCTCTTAACACTTCCTTAATTCTACAAGTAATCTTTTTTATCTAAACTCTTATTTTTGTGTACCTTTCATGTAGTATATATTGCCTGTATTTAATTGATCTTGGAATGTTGAGTATAGGCATCATGTATTAATCATCTTTGTACTTCCGTAGCATTTGGAGCAATGTGTCCATTGATAAGGCACTTAGTAAGTATTTGAACAATTAGTTTATCTAATATTACTTCCTTTTCTTTCCTTTTTAGTGAAGATTTTAGTAAATGAAAGTATTGGTGTACCCAACAATTGTTTTCTTTTGTTCCAACCCATTGTAACGAGCGAGTAGTTAATTCATGTTTTATTCCATTAGTTTTTAACTTTTTCTGCAAGGTAACTCTAAATTTTTATTCAAGTTGAGAAATTAATTACTGTGTATTCCTCCCTATACTCAGCCCTATGGAAGATGTGTTAAGTAGAAATTTTGGCTCTTAATAACTTTCTCCTCTCAAAACCTGGTTGTAATAGTGCCTTTTGTATACATATATGTCACTAACTTCATGGTCTCCCTTGGTGTTTGAATAGTGACCATATATTGCTATTACAGACCAGAAGGGAAAGATTTCAGCATTCATCGACTTGTCCTGGGGACACACACATCGGATGAACAAAACCACCTTGTGATAGCCAGTGTGCAGCTCCCTAACGATGATGCTCAGTTTGATGCGTCACACTACGACAGTGAGAAAGGAGGTAGGAATTTTAAGGGTGAAAGAAGTAATGATGTATGGTTTATATCTTTCGTATCTTTGAATAAAAAGGATATTCAGTTTGACAAAGTAGCCTCAAGTGAGAAACTAAGATTTAAGCTTGGAAAAGTCTGAGTTTGCAATATAGATATTAATTTATATTAGATTTGTAGATGTCAGAATAAATAATAAACATATGTAGTCATCCCTCGGTGTCCGTGGGGATACCAAAATCACCAATGCTCAAGTCCCTTATATAAAATGGTGTAGTATTTGTGTACAATCTGTGCACATCCTCATTTATGCTTTAAGTCATTTCTATATTACTTATGCCTAATACAATACAAATGCTATGTAAGTAGTTGTTATACTGTATTGTTAAGGAATAACAACAAAGGGGAAGATCTATACATTTTCAGTACAGACACCTTTTATTTTTCCCCCAATATTTTCAATTCATGGTTGAATCCAAGGATGTAGTACACATGGATACGGAGGCGCTAGTGTATTTGATTCTGTACCTTTGCTATAAACTTCTCTGTACTAAACTGGTGGCAGGGGAATTTCTAGAGTTGAAGGAAACAAAGATCCATACATTATTGTTATTCATTCTCAATGGGGGAGATAATTGCCCTTAATGAGGTGAAAGTAGGTTTGTGGGTGTGAGTGGGTGTAAACAGTCTTATCTTGTTGATTGTATAAAGCACAGATGTACACAGAATGCATACAGAGCATAGAGGAGGGGATCTGAAATTAAAATTTCATGGGGGGCTCTTAGGGGAAAAGTATCTTAAAAGGTTTCTTAGAGGTACAATAATTTTTTAAAAAGGTTGAGAAACACTGGCTTAAATTACCCTTTCCAGGTTTAAAGTGGTAGAAATGACTTAACCATGATATGTACTTGTATATAAAAATTTCTTTATTTTTTAAATTTTTTTTAAAAGATGATGAGTAAGAGTAATCTTAACCCGTGGCTTGGTGTTGTCAGCATCACGCTCAACCAGTGAGCTAACCGGCCATCCCTATATAGGATCCGAAACCGGGGCCTTGGTGTTCTCAGCACCACTCTCTCCCAAGTGAGCCACGGGCCGGCCCTAGTACTTGTATATAAAAATTAAATTTCGGGTCGGCCCGGTGGCGCACTGGAGAGTGCGGCGCTTGGGAGCATGGCAGCGCTCCTGCCGAGGGTTCGGATCCCATGTGGAGACCAGTTCCCGCTCACTGGCTGAGCGCGGTGCAGGCGCAACACCGAGGGTTGCGATCCCCTTGCCGGTCCCCGGTACAGGGTATGGGCGTGACACCAAGGGTTGCAATCCCGTTACCGGTCAGTAAAAAAAGACAAAAAAGGAAAAAAAAAATTAAATTTCAAATTTTCAGTAATTGCGTCCTATTTTAAGGAGTTGCTGTAAAGGTTTAACTGCTCATGAAATGCTTACTCTTCCCCTTTCGGAAGAGGTGGCACTTGGTGAGTTTCCTTTATTGTCCTTGAACCCAGATTATTATCAAAAGGTAGAAATGGGGGCCGACCCCGTGGCTCACTCGGGAGAGTGCGGCACTGGGAGCACAGCAGTGCTCCCGCCGTGGGTTTGGATACTATATAGGGCTGGCCAATGCGCTCACTGGCTGAGCGCGGTGCAGGCAACACCAAGCCAAGGGTTGTGATCCCCTTACCGGTCACAAAAAAAAAAAGGTAGAAATGGGCTCCCATTATTGAGATTTGTGCTCCAAAGAATAGATGTTTACTGTTTTCTTTTCTTAGGTTTTTCCTGATTAGCAGAATCCATTCTTTTAAGTTTTGGGGGACTCCAGTTATTTGCCAGGATTGTAATTGTAATCATTTTTGATCGTTTTACATTTTGCTTAGTGTGATACAGAATGCAAAATAAGTTCTTAGGATAAAGGTCAGCAGAGATGATTTTGTGTCACTGACCCAAGTGTGTAATTTGATGTGATTTCTGGAAGATTATTCTCTGCGTAGCATCTGTGATAGGGGTGGAAAGAACACTGAACTTAAGAGTCAGTAGACTTGATGGGCCGGCCCGGTGGCGCACTGCTACAGTGCGCCGCTTGGGAAGCGCGGTGGCGCTCCCGCCGAGGGTTCGGATCCCACATACAGACCGGCCACTCACTGGCTGAGCGAGGGGCGGGAGCAACACCGAGGGTTGCGATCCCGTGGCCGGTCCCGGTCCGGTACGGGCGCGACACTGGGGGTTGCGATCCGTTGCAGGTCTCGAAAAAAGACAAAAAGGGAAAAAAAAAAAAAAGAGTCAGTAGACTTGAGATTGAGACCAGTTGTTAGGCTTGGTGCTTAAAGGCGGGAGGAGTGTGCCATTCCATATGGTCTCAACAATGATGGAAGCAGATATAAAGTTCTTGGGTGATTGTTAAGTACATAGCTTCCTACCTAAAAGCTGAAATGTACTAGACTCTCAGATTGTATTATTATTATAATTGATTACTATCTACTTGACCTCATTTGGTTTGAGGTAATTGATGGGCGACAGTTTCAAAAGCTCATTGAACTTTCAAAGTGAAAGTACAAAAACTGGCTTAGGCCTGTTTTGACATTAAAAAATTCTCAAAAAAAATAAAAAAAGAATTATTTTTTTTTTTTTGGCAGCTGGCTGGTACTGGGATCCGAACCCTTGACCTTGGTGTTATAACACTGCGCTCTAACCAACTGAGCTGACAGGCCAGCCAGATCTCATGTGTTTATATTATTAGATTTAGCCTGGCTGTACTCATGTTGTAATCTCTGAAAATAAATTAGATGTAAAATTTTACTTTAGACTCTGTTACCAGGATCTTCAAATAGCAACAAATTTGTCCTTAGCAACTTATTTGGGGAATTGGTTTTGTATTTTAAAAAAGAGAAATCTCAAGTATTTAATCTGAATTATGTATGAGGGCACTTCAAAAAGTTTATGGAAAAGTAGAATTAGAAGATTAAACAGGGCTGGCCAATTAGCTCAGTTGGTTAGAGCATAGTACTGATAACACCAAGGTGCAGGGTTTGATCCCTCTACCAGCCAGTTGCCAAAATAAAAAACAAATACAGATCTTTCCATGAACTTTTTTTTTTTTTTTTCTTTTTTGTGACTCGTAAGGGGATTGTAACCCTTGGCTTGGTGTTGCCTGCACCGTGCTCAGCCAGTGAGTGCACCAGCCATCCCTATATAGGATCCAAACCCGCAGCCTCCGCACTACCAGCACCGCTCTCTCCCGAGTGAGCCACGGGGTCAGCCCTTTCCATGAACTTTTTGAAGACCTCTCATATATATATAATAACAAACTATTATTGTGATGAAATAATTTGGATATTTGAGGATGTTAGAACTTAGTTCGAAGAGGTTTATGAGCTCAAAAAGTGGCTTGTGGGGGCTGGCCCATGACTCACTTGGGAGAGTGTGGTGCTGACATGGGTTCGGATCCCTATATAGGGATGGCCAGTTAGCTCACTTGGGAAAGCGTGGTGCTGACAACACCAAGTCAAGGGTTAAGATCCCCTTACTGGTCATCTTTTTAAAAAAAAAAAAAAAAAAAAAAGTGGCTTGATGGTAGAAATGAGAATGGTGGTTACCTTGTTTGTGGAAATAGTAATGATTGGAAATGACAATAGTGCCTTCTGAGCTGGTGGGAATGTTTTACATTTTGATCTGGGCAGTGATTCCCCTGATGCATACATATGTAAAAATTCATCAAGCTACAGAGATTTATGTGCTGCTTATGTGTATTATGTTATGCCTCAAGTTTGTTTAATAGTGTTTTATGTGCCAAGAAGCAAACAAACTAGGAAGACGGTGGGACTTTCACTTTTGTTCAGTTTATTGTACATTGATACCTCAACCTTTCCTACTTCAAATTGCTCTTTCACATACCAGCTTCAACTTGGGAATTCCTGGTTATTTTTTGAATAGATAAGCTCTTATCTGTATTAAAACTCAATTTTGAATCCTCTGAGTTCTTATTACTGTATTTTTCTGTACAGTTAAAGATTATTTATTTATTTATTTATTTTTTATTTATTTTTTATTTTTTTATTTTTTCGTGACCGGTAAGGGGATCACAACCCTTGGTGTGGTGTTATTTTATTTTATTATTTTTTATTTTTTTATTTTTTCGTGACCGGTAAGGGGATCACAACCCTTGGTGTGGTGTCACCCACACTGCGCTCAGCCAGTGAGCGCACCGGTCATTCCTATGTAGGATCCGAACCCGCGGCGGGAGCGTCACTTCGCTCCGTGTGCCACGGGCTCAGCCCTGAAGAGTATTTTTAATATATGCCCAATACTGAATGAAATAACCCATGTTATATAATGATTACCCCTTGTTCTGTGGACTCCGTACTGGCTATTGCTTCTCCTTGTTATTGGTACCTCTTTTGTGGCAGTTATGCTTTTTCTTTGTCATTGTCATGTATGGTTGTCCACTTAACGTCCTTGTATTCAGACCGAAAGTTCCTTAAGATCACATATCATATCATATGTAGATGCTTGTTGGCTACAGTTCTGGGAAAAATTAGTTTAATGTGGTTTTTTTTCTCCAGTCTATCTTGAACTTGTATTTTTAGGTTTTTAGTGTGTTTGAGACATTTGCTATTCAACTTATAAAAGTTATTTTGAGGTTGAAAGTTATGTAATATGCCAACCATATTACCCATCTATGTCTTTGCTTTCTGAAAAGATTTCTGTCCTTCAGAGAGTAACACTTGTATAGCAATGCTATTGATGGAGCATTTTCATTTACAAATTACTCTCACAACTTCTTTGCTTTATGGATAAGGTAGGTGTTTGAGGCTGAGAGAAGCTGAAAGGCTCCCCAAATCACCATGCTAGTAAGTGGCAGAGCCAGTTAGGCCTGGGTCTGACTCAGGAGCTTTTTCAACCCTATCATACTGCCTTCTGTAATTCTTGGAATGATCATTAATTACCTGTGTTTAAATATTGCTTTGCCAAAATTTATATGATCACGAATTATATTGTTATACATTTATAATGGTACTTGGGAGAATTATCTAAGTGCATACAGTTGTCAAAAGTGAATAAAAAATGTTTTTGTGTAGTTCTCGCCTACCTGGTTTATGTCAACCAAGGAGTTTGGTTGGCATCTGTAAGTGGGGTTAGGAAAATGGAACTGGCTGTTGTGGCTCTGTTTTTCCTCACTGGACTAAGAGGAACACTGTAGGGGGAAAATACAGTGTGATATTTCAGTAAGGGCATCCCACACTAAAGCTTCAGATAAAAGATGTAAGAGGACTCTTTAGTGCCCAGCGTACTGTGTACTTAATATTCATTAAAATAGTAACTTGAGTTTTGTTTATTCAGCATGCTTATTTGTACTTTAAATGAGATTTGAAAACTGTTAATTGGAAATCTTCTTTTGAAATGTGATTGGTAGTCTTAGTTTCAAGCAGTAATACAACACTTCTTATTAGGTATTTAACTACCTGGACTCAAAGGGGAATGAAAGTACTTTATAGTGCTAACAAATGTCTAGATTACTTCTAGTGTTATACCAGTTCTCTGATAAAATATACTCTGAGTGACAGACATATCTAGAGGGTAGCTATTGCTTTGTCCTCATTTACAATTAATTTATCTTATTTACAGAATTTGGAGGTTTTGGGTCAGTTAGTGGAAAAATTGAAATAGAAATCAAGATCAACCATGAAGGAGAAGTAAACAGGGCCCGTTATATGCCCCAGAACCCTTGCATCATTGCAACAAAGACTCCATCCAGTGATGTTCTTGTTTTCGACTATACAAAACATCCTTCTAAACCAGGTACCTGCCCTTTTCTGTTCAAATACAAATAATGAGTAACTATGGGGATATGTGGCTCTGTTCATTCTGAGTTTTTGCTTGTTATTTTTTGTATGATTTAACATCTTGTGATTTATATTGATACATGTAGGAATTTTCCTTCACGTTCTTCTTTCCTTAAGTGGGAGAAGAAATGTTTCCTTACATAGAACAGAGTGATGTGCAGCTTAAGCATTGTATGTTTGGTTGTAATGGCTTCTATATGGTTTATAAATGTTAGGACTTTAGAAATCTTTTTTTTTTTCTTACTGGGGATCTTAACCTTTACATAGAACAGAGTGATGTGCAGCTTAAGCATTGTATGTTTGGTTGTAATGGCTTCTGTATGGTTTATAAATGTTAGGACTTTAGAAATCTTTTTTTTTTTCTTACTGGGGATCTTAACCCTTGACTTTGTGTTGTCAGCACCACGCTCTCCCAAGTGAGCTAACTGGCCATCCCTATGTGGGATCCAAACCCGTGGCTTTGTTGTTAGCAGCACCACACTCTCCCAAGTGAGCCACGGGCTGGCCCCACGACTTTAGAAATCTTGATCAAAATTCCATTATGCTGAGTAGCCCCAGAGAGCCAGTAGACTGGTAAGTCTTGATGTATTTATTACTTTGCAGACCCTTCTGGAGAGTGCAACCCAGACTTGCGTCTTCGTGGACATCAGAAGGAAGGCTATGGGCTTTCTTGGAACCCAAATCTCAGTGGGCACTTACTTAGTGCTTCAGATGACCACGTGTGTATCCTTCCCATTTTGAAGCAAATCTGGGCTCGTGACCAGTTGGTTTCTTTTTTGGGGTGTGTGGGGAGGTGAGAATCTTCCTTTTATATAATAGTTAATTTTACATTTAAGACCATCTGCCTATGGGACATCAGTGCCGTTCCAAAGGAAGGAAAAGTGGTGGATGCGAAGACCATCTTTACAGGGCACACAGCAGTAGTAGAAGATGTTTCCTGGCATCTGCTCCATGAGTCTCTGTTTGGGTCAGTTGCTGATGATCAGAAACTTATGATGTAAGTAGAATCCACTGTTTATTTTTTCTTCATAAATTATCTAAGTTTATATTTAGTCACAATTTCAAGCTTTTTTCTTGTTTGCTTTTTTTTTTAAACTAAAGTTGGGATACTCGTTCAAACAATACTTCTAAACCAAGCCATTCAGTTGATGCTCACACTGCTGAAGTGAACTGCCTATCTTTCAATCCTTATAGTGAGTTCATTCTTGCCACAGGATCAGCTGACAAGGTCAGTTTTGTTTATTTTAAGAGAAGTCATACGGTCAATTTCTCCATCTTCTTTTGAATTTATGGAGCTCTTTGCGTGGTGGGTTTTCTTTTTCTTATAAAACATTATTGATTGCTCTTGCTTTTCTTTTTGTATGTAGACTGTTGCCTTGTGGGATTTGAGAAATCTGAAACTTAAGTTGCATTCCTTTGAATCACATAAGGATGAAATATTCCAGGTAACAGATGCTACTAATTTTTTTAAAAGAAAATTTGGATGTATAAGTGGACACACTTGTGCTTTATCCTGTTGCTAAATATAGAAATCTTTTATTTGCCTATGTTAGTTTCTGTGGGAATTAGGATTGTTTTTCCTCTGTTGTTTCTGACTTACTCAGATTGGTCATTGGCCACCTACACTCTTGAGATTTAGAAAAACGAGTGTCTGATTATTTTATTAGTCTTGATCCTGACATTTACTTGTTTCTTCATTATTTCCACCCTTTTATAGCTTGCCACATGTATTGATTTCTCAGTTGAATCCTAAACTACTGGCTCCTAAACTCTTCATCAGTTTAAGCTCCTTTCTTAACATGCAAAGCCCTCTGACTCAATTCAAGAAATAATTGTTAGGGTTGCCAGTTAGCTCACTTGGTTAGATCCTTGGTAATGATGATAACACTAAGGGCAAAGGTTTGGATAGGGCCAGCTGCCAAAAAAGAAACAAAGAAGAAATAATTGTTGCACTATGTTCAAAGCTTGTTGCTAGGACACCATGAGGGATACTTTATAGTGTTTTGCTGTCAAAGAGCTTAAATTTTTATAGTGAGGAAAGGCCTACTTAGAAATTACTATAAAACAGCCAGCTGCCAAAAAGAAAAAAGAAAAAAATGAGTATAATAAAAAACATTTTGTCAAGTATTATGAACCCAAGAGTGGTCAAGATCAATTCTGGTGGGTGAATGTGGCATCTGAAATGGCTTTAAATGGGCCATACTCCTACACACTTAGTCTCTTACCTTATTTTCTACTCTTTAGACTGCTCCAATGAACATTTTTTCTTCGCTTTATTTTTTTGCCTTTGCTTAAATGGTGTGCTTTCCTGGAGAGTGTCTAAATTTTTTTTTAAGTACTGATCACTAACACCCTTTTCTCTGTACCATGAGGCTAGCACTTTCTTACCAAACAGTAACATAATATGTGATTATTGCAAGTATAGTAGTTAACTTTTGTCTAATTCTTTAATATTGTCATTGTTGCAAGGAGTCATTTTTAATCAGCCTCATGTGTGATACAGAATTCATTGTAAATACTTGGGAAAATAGTTATTTGAGTATGTCATTTCTACTTTAGTTCTTAGGTTAGAATTAGGTTGCATCTTTTAGAGACCAGAATTAGACGATCAGAACAGACTGGATGTGATCTTCAAAAATATAAGGTGAAATGAGGGCCGGCCCGGTGGCGCACTGCTACAGTGCGCTGCTTGGGAAGCGCGGCGGTGCTCCCGCCGAGGGTTCGGATCCCACGTGCAGACCGGTTCCCGCTCACTGGCAGAGCGAGGGGCGGGCGCAGCACTGAGGTTTGCGATCCCGTT